GCAGAATAGCATGACATAGCATAGCATACCATAGCAACTAATGCTGCTTTCCTAGGGGCTTCAACTTCTAGGTAGGGTCGCACTGGGGCAATTTGTTTAACATGTTTAAAACGTGTTTAACACATGTTCTAGACAGCTGGAAATCAATTGGCAACATGTTTCCTCTCCATGGATCGCCCTTCACAAATCCACAGGCACATGCTCGTTTCCAGAGCCGCCCAAAACCCTGCTAAATATGAGTTCCGCATCCCTGTGGTTAGAAGACTCGCCACTGCTACTTTGGGCAAACCTCCTCTGCGGTGGGGTCACACACGGGGGCCTTTTGGAGCTGGAGTTGGAAGTGGAAGTCTAGTCATAGTTGGAGGTGATCTGCCCACTTTGTACTCATGAGCAGCGATGGAGAGGACTACCCGTTCATAACCACCTCACCAGCCTTACTTCGCAAGAGGTTGGCAGCAGCGTGGCAAGAGCAGCTCGCAAAATATGCCGGAATCAAGATGGGAATTGAAGCCGTCGACCTGCCTCATGCGAAGGCAGCGCTGGCAGGCAAAAGTTTATCCAAGCAGAAGCGTAGCTGTTCGGTATCTTGTGTGGCTGTTTATTAGGGCCCGTCGAGAGTTGACGACTGCAGGTTATGGAACGGACACTATCCCGAGCCCCCGCCTTTTGAGGTTTGAGGTCACGGGACCCAAAAGTCTTGGGTCAGACGAAACTCAGCGTTGGTCCCGTGATGGCCTTTGGCCTCACTCTGCTTTTGTCGGTGGGACTTATGTTGACGGAAGAATGGCCAAATCTGGCCACAGTAGTTTCCATGTCACTCGCTAAGCCCTGGTCCAGATCGACCCCGGAGACGGATCGACTATTGTGTGCCTGCGTGGCCCTGTAGGCAGTGCCCTCCCACCTGCCTCCCCAGCGGCGGAGTTCCTCGCCTACTCCGCGGCCAGGAAGTCTAGACACATCACCCTTATCCATTCGGACTTCAATGAAGTCGTAGAGTGTCACAGCTCCCACCAGCCAGCCAGCAGGAAGAACATGGTTGACGGTCTGTTTTCTATTGCCAGGCTTGGAGAAGCCAGGAGTGATGGATGTTTTAGATCGGCCCTCCGACCAGTGGGTCCACGCCGCGGGGAAAGAGGAAGCCGACCGTGTCGCCACGTATGCCACTGCTAGCTCGCCCAGCCCTCAACAAGCGGAGCGGGAGGCACAACAGCAGCTCGAGCAGAGATGGAAGCGTTCCCCGAAATTCGTCCCCAAGGCCCTTTCACTGTGGCCTGCCATGGCCCCCAGAATTGGGGACAAGGCAAATCGACAAGCCCAGCAGTAGGAGCACCGTCTATCCTGAAAGTGTGACAAGGCAGAGCTAACTCGGGGGCGGCGCGTTCGGGCCCTCGTCCTGCTGTGCCCACCCTCTCCTCGCCCCCCCCGTCGTGGCTTGGGCCCGTGTCGGGCACGCCTGGCCCCGACAGAAGAAGCGTTGGCTCTGCTGTCTCGTCCACTCGCGATGTCCACGCGGTGAAACCAAGAGAGACACAGCGAACGAGCCATGCCCTGGCAATGCAGCCGCTTTGGCTAAGCTGGTGGCCATGCCAAACAAGCACAAGATGCAGATTCGCGATCGGATTGCAGATGAGAGTTTCGCTGTTGCGTGTTTGTTGTGTGGCAAGCATTCAGAGTGTACCCTCAAGGGCCTCCACCAATGTTGCCCCAGACGGTATGCTTCCACGTTTTCGAGAGGCGCGTACGGGTGCCGCGAGGAGGGAAGGCACCCTAAGGCAACCCAGTGGTGTGCAAGCCCCCGATCCCTGTTGAGCAGGTAGCCCGACAAGTTGCCGACGTCGAAGCGCTCGACTCCCTCTAGCGAAAACGAACCCTCTCTGAACCCGTGCGATGGTCCTCCTTATATGCCTCCTCCCTATCCTCTCTCCACCCGGGTCCTCCTCCTCCTCCTCCTCCGCCTTATTACCACATTCTCGAACTTCAATGCTCGTCATCGCTTCTCCTCGTCCCTCGCTCTCCTGGTCCTCTTCCTGCTCCTCCTCCTCCTTCGCATCATCGCTTCTGCTCATGTTTTGTTTCTGACCTTCATCCTCTTCACCTCCCTCTGCTGCTCCTCACCCTCGCTTCTCATTACCCGTTGCCCTCGTACTCAGTTTGCTTCCCCTGCCTTTCGCAACTCTCAGTGCATCCTTCTTCTTGCATCCCCTGCTCCATCGTACGTGATCGCCAACCGATCGTCGTCGCCCTGGCATTTCTCCTCCTCGTTCCTCTTTCATTCACCTCGCTCCTCCTTTACTCTTGCCTTTTCTCTCCCCCTCATCCCCCCCATCCCTCCTTGATCCTCCTGCTGTTGCTCCTCCTCCTCCCCATCCCCCTCTCCTCATTCCCCTTCTCCTCCTCGCCCATGTTTATTCTAAAATGTCATCTGCCACGGCCTCCTCATTGTCGCCTCTCCTGCTGTGCCTCCTCGCTCCACCTCGCGCCCCTCCTTGCTCCTCGCTAGATCCTCCTGTCTCCTCGCTCCCTCCTTCCTCCCTGCCTCCCACCCTCTCGTTCCTCCCCCCCTCGCCCCATCCTTCCAATCACCCCTCCCTCCTCCTCCCTCCCTTCCTCCTTGCTCCTCCCGCCTAGCTCCCCGAACGGCCAGGCGAGGACGCTGCAGGGGCAGCAGGACGGTTCCCCCGGGGTGTGCGCGCGCAGGGCCTGACTCTGCGCGGCCGCGCGCTGCGTGGCGGCACGGCGCGGACTGCGTGTGCGCGCGCGCTCCGAACTGCGCGTGCGCGGGCAGGGTCTGCGGCGGGGTGCACGCGACAATCAGAGCAGAAGCAGGGGCCACCACCACCGAGAACCCACTCGGGGTGCGTGGGTGGTGGCACGCCCGAGCGTCACCCAGTACAGGACGATGCGCAGGCGTGCCACCGCACAGGAGGCCAGTTCCCTCCCGCCGGTGGGCTTTGGGGGGCGGTGGTCCGTGCTCCTCCTCGGAGTCGAGGGGCCCTGCCACAAGAGAGCAGCAGATACACGCAGGAGCGACCCCAGGCAAGAGTGGGCTTTGGTGCGAGGACTCTCGAGGGGTGTGGGGGAACAGACCCAGGCGCAGGAACCACTGCTATCGCATCACGTGGTGCGGGGGCCCCAGTGGTCCCGCGCCAAAATTTGCGTTGCGAGGCGGGGATTTATCCATATCCACCGCCTGGGGAACCAACGTCCCGGGACCCCATAGGGTGCGGTGGATATGGACATTTGCCCGAGAGGGCCCGAATCTACCCATATCCAATATCCACTACCTGTCGAGGTCCCCGAAGATCGCTCCCCCAAGCGTTGACTATGGATAGGCCCGCCTTGGAAAGGTCGCTTTGGCCAAATGCCACTCCCGTGATGCAGCCGAAAAGCCAGGGTGACTGCCAGCGGTCCGAAAACTTTCCTGGTGTGCCTACTCTTAGGTCGGGCGTGGCCTCCTACAGCCGGAGTTTGGAAGAGAAGTGCAACATAATCAAAACATAATGACACATAGTCGAAAGAGCAAGCAAAATCGTCACCAGACTATTTTGTCTACTATTCCTGATACTCCTCCTGCAGAGGGACATGCCAGACTTAGGCCTACTGCTTCGGCAGCAGAACGAGGACGCCAGGGCGAGGGCAACTCGGGGAGGGATAGTCGAGGCCGCCTGGATGGGATCGGAGTGGATGGGGTCGAGGGATCGCGCCGCATCGCCAATGCATCGGCGATGCACCGACGATACATCGCCGATAAATCAGCGATGCATTGGCGATGCATCCGCGACGCTGGCGACGCATCCACGACGTCGGCGTGGGGAAATTCGGGCTCCGCATCGAGCCGCATCGCCGATGCATCGGCGAGGCGGCGCGATCCTCCGACCACGTCTGCTCGGACCCCCATTCGGGAGGCCTACAGGCACCCTCTCGGGATTTCGGCGTTGCAGTGGTTTGCCTTACGCCGGGCGTGCTCGCCCGCTTTCGGGCCCCGGGATCGTCCCAGACCGATCTGGCTCGAAGGTTGCCGCAGCAAGGTGGGCTCAGGGCTCTTGCCGCGCGTTGGCGCGATGCTGCACTGCTTGCGCAGCGTCGGGCCCCAGGGCCCCCTTCCCGCGCCGCCGGGCACTGCTCTCAAGGCTCCCGCCTGGGCCCGCTTGGCGTCCGAGCCCCTCCGAGGCCTCCTGGCGGAGCGAGAGCAGTAAGCACTGGCGCCATTCTCGCGATACCCAGGCCTCTAAATGCCCGCTCCTGGCCCTGGAGACCCCCGCAACATGACACCCTTGCGGCAGAAGACTCCAAGCAGCTTGACGCAGCTCACGATCGGGGACCAAGATGGATGGGTGGTCACGGGAGGCAACCGGGGGGCACGTCGCCCCACCGATTCCGGATCCCAAGCTGTTGAGAACACTTGTGGACAATCCGTTTCGTGAAAAAGCGAAGACTTCAGCCTGGGGGCTCGGTGGCAGAGCCCCAGCCGGCCACCGACGCGGGCCAGGTTCCACGCCGTGCTCGAGGCATTGTGAGGGTTACTCGGCTGCCCACTCCGTAACCAGGACGGGGTCCGACGCCGAGCGGGCCACTGGAGAGAGGACATCGTGCCCGCACGCTGTACACATACTCACACGCTTCCCTCCGACGCGGCGATGACAATACCCACCGGGGTCGCAGCTACGGCTCCCGCTAGCAAAAAAAACATTCAACATCAGGCGCACACCAGTGCCCACGTGTTCACCTGCACGCGCGCGCGAGCCGAGCACGGCTGGACCGACCAACCTGCACCCGATTCATGCACCGCAACTGCAAAAACATGAACTTTCGGAACTCCGCGCGGATTTCCTGGGTCGGCGCTGGCACCCCCTCCGTGACGCGGGGCGCGTCAGGGGCGGCGCCGAAGGCGCCGCTACCGGGGCCGAGCGCCGACCGAAGAAATCCCCACGGACCTCCGAAAATGTATGTATGTGTTGCTTCTCCCTCTCCGGCCCAAGGCAGGGGCGCTGCGGGCGAGCCGGGCAGGCGCGGCGGGATAGACGTGGCCGAAGGTGGCCGTGACCCTGAAGCTTGCGGGTTCGCCGCGGAAGAAGCCGTCGAACTCGTAGACGGGCGAGCGCGGGTGCTGGCCCTGCACAGAAAGGGGACGTAGAAGGACATGCTAGTACTACTCGCCCCCCTTGGAGAGCCACGTCCGAGACGAGCATATATCATACATTCGGATGCATCGTTTCCCAAGCGGCATGGATAGACACCGCGCGCCACCGAGCATATTATACTGTATGTGTTGTCCACTCCCCTGTCATCACCACCGTCCCCCTTATCATATTCCTCCCTTCGTCCTACTCCCTCTTCATCCTCTATCTCCCATGTTATCCGCCCTCCCACTCCTCATCCCGTCCTCCTCTTGTATTCTCCTCATCCAGCATCCGCCTCATTCCTCCTGCTTTTCTCCCTCCCTCCACCGACTACGTCTGGTATTGTACCGCCTCGCCCCTCCCCCTCATACTTCGCAACCCTCCTCCGCTTCCCCCCTCGTCCTCCGCCGTGTCCGCCTCCTCCTATCCTCCTATACCTCCCCCCCCCCTCACCCCACCCCTTGCGTTGCCCCTCCCCTTCCATGACTCCGACGCCGACGACAACGCCGACGATGACGCCGACGGCCGCGACAGTGGTGGCCGGCGGCTGCGACGACGCACGCGAGGCGCCTTTCGCCGCCTGGGCTTCTGGGCTCCGCTCAGCGAGTGCGCGATGGTCCCCGCGATCGTGGGCTTCTCGGCCTTGGCCGCACGCCCGCTGGCTAAAGGGAGGAATCGGGGATTGCGCATGCTTCGAGGTCCGCAAGTGCGGGATTTCGAAACGTCTTGGGTACTGTCGTCCCGTGTCCTAGGGTAAAATCAAAGATATTACTATGACGACTCCGCCCTCTCAATCACTCACGTCACTCCTCCGTGTTCCTCCTCCTCCGTTCCTCATCCTTCTCGCTCATCCCCGCTTCTCTCGCACACTCCTGCCCATTCACAGTCACTCATACGCAGACCCACTCATACTCAGACTCACTCACATTGAGGCGAGGTTGGCTCCCACTGAAGTCACTCATGCTCAAGCTTACAGTTACATTGTCATCGCTCTCGGACTTATCCATACTCACTCACACTGAAGCTCACCCATATTCAGAGGTCACTCCTACTCAGACTCACTCACACTGAAAGCAACACTCACAGTCGGATTCAGCAGGCGTGGTACTTGGGCCCCCCAAATGGGAGCCAGCAGGGGTGGGGAGGTCTGGGGCGGTTGGTCCGTTTTGCCACCCCCCCTCTTTTTTTCCGTATTTCTCTATCATGCTTTCTCTCTCTCTCTCTCTCTCTCTCTATCTGCCTTCCCCATGGTCACCGCGCGATAAAGCAGACGTGGCATTTTGGTACCAAAGTGTGAGCCGCCAATTGTGGGAAGACTCCCCCCTTGGCCTCCGCATTGTGGTGATGTCTCAAGCGGTTTGCCAGTTTGGTTGGGAGGAACCCTCTGCTTCCTCAAACGATTCGCAAGCTTCAGCACTGCAAAGGGGGGACGCCAGGCTTGGCTTCACGGCCTCAGTGGCGTAAAGATTGTGGGGATGTGGGAAGCGGCTCGCCTGCTTGGCTTTTCAAATGGTTTTGCAAAGCAGATTACAAGGATGTCTCAGGCGAGTTGCCTGTTTGGTGGCCCCGACTCTTCTGCCTGCAGAAGAAAATGCAAAGATTTCTGAAGCGGTCTGCCCGATTGGTGGCCAAGACTCTGGCCTCGCACCCCAAGGGAGAGATGCCAAGACTGGTTCGCGCACGCACTGCTGGGATGTCCCAGGTGGTGTGTCTGCCTTAGCCCGCCTACTTTTCTGCTCTCGCTGCAGATCGTAGGGATGTCGTGGGCGGGGCGCTGGCTTCAGCAGCCGGGGGAACGTCTCGATCGAGGCGCCGGTTGCAGCACCCCAGAGAAGAGCCGCCAAGGAGCAGATTTCGAAGATGCTCCAAGCGAGGCGAAGGCCTCCAGCGCCCCACACGGGAAGCCGTCAAGGAGTAGGACACACGCCCCTGGATCTCCTTGGTGTCGGGAACAGGACGGCCGGCGGGGAAGAGCAGGAAGGACGGATTATCAACTGGAAGCACGAAGGAGGACGGAGCAGCGAGAAGGGAATAAGAAAACGAAAGGGTTTCGGCAAGGAACAAAGGGGGGGAGAGGGGAGGGGGTCGCCAGGGAGAAGGAGGGAAGACGGAGGACGAAGGAAGACGAGGAGTTAGAATCAGCAGAAGGACGCGTGAGCAATTAGGGAGAAGAGCGACCTCTAAGGAAGGTAGGAATGGTCGGAGAAATGAGGAAACGGACCCGGGAGCGAGGGAAGAGGGACGAACGAGGAACACCAGGGAGGGAGGGCGACGAGGAACATGCGGAGGGGACCTGTTCACCCCCTGTTTGCGAGTTGTTGTTATCGTCGCCGCTGTTCGGCATCGTGCTTGTCGCCATCGTCGTCGTCGTCGTCGCGTACCCGTCGTGAACTTGGACTTGCTCTCACACACAAACACTCACAGCGAGGCGCTCACAGCAGGTTGTGCCAAAACATGACATTCACATATCGGGACCTCCGCGTCGAGTCCATGGCTGTTTTAAAATATCCGCCACCGTGCCTGCACGATGTGTGCGTGCTGGAATGTGCTAGAATGGAGGTTTTACGTTCAAGTTAAGCCCCCCCCCTTCTCCCGAGACCACGATCCCCCGGAACAGGAAGAGGTGGAGCCGCGCCCACGGAGACAAATACCCCTAGCGACAAACTCGTTGAACATCCGCGTCCCGACCGTCCAGGACGGCCCGAGCAAGCAACCAAGGCAACCAAGATAGCCCATGCTTCGAGGACGGATCAAATTGGCCTCTGGGCAGCCGACATGGCCTCAATGCGGCCCAACATGCCTCCAACAGGACTCAAAGTAGCATCAAGAGGACGCCCAACAGGGCCCCGAAAAGCCAACACCATTG